GAGAGAACGACTATGATTGCATAGTACTGTACCTGTAAGCCGACACAAAGAGAGGCTACAAGTACTAGTAAGTAAACATGTAAGGAAGCATAGGTAGTATGGGACTTACTCTTCAGTCTGTGAGAGAACGACTGAAGAGCAGAGGCCCGCAGAGTCCTCCTTATATACTACTGGGGAGGACGATGAGTAAGCGTATAGGAAGAGGGCATGTGACGTCCAGAGGACGCTGACTGAGCGATGAGTAACGCTGAGTAAGGGAGCATAATCGACATAAGGTCAGATAGTCCATGGCTGAGTAATGCGAGTAATCCGGACGCTGTCTAGAATAGTCCGGAACATCGTAGAACGTACCAGAATCATATGGAGGGATGGCAGGATGCCAAGTAAGTACAGAACAAAAGAATGTACATATATGGTAAGTAGGAAAGTCCATGCTGGCGTATGGTAGACGCACAGCCACTATTATTGCCACTCCCGGTCCGGCACAGCCGTAGACACAGAAGTTCAACAGAGGCTGCGGAGACGAAGATCGACGACTACGAACAGAAGGAGTTCGCGACCCGTCAGCAAATCTATGGGATGATCACCGACTCTCTCCTCCTCAAGGTCAAGGACCTCCTCTCCGCATCAGCCGTCCGGAGTGCCGTCATGAAGGAGCACGAGGGCAAGTCGGAGATGTACGCGAGCAGCGTACGTACACGCTTGCTCAATACGAGGTGCTCCGAGGGCGGCGACGTGCGCGAGCACTTCGACACGCTCGTCCGTCTTCGGGAAGAGCTCGCAGGCATGGGCTCACCCCTCCCCAATGCCAAGTTCTCGGCGGCGATCTTCCAGTCGCTGCCAGAATCGTACGGCACCCTCCTGACGACGCTCTCCACCGCCGCCCGCATGACCGGCAACCTCCTCTCCCCCGGCGACATCATCTTTGCAGTCAGCGAAGAGTTTGACCGACGCAAGCTCAACACACCTGGGACGTCCAGTGAGTCCGCGCTCGCAGCGCAGTCAAGCACGCAGCTCGAGTGCTACAACTGCAAGCGCAAAGGCCACGTCAAGGCCGACTGCTGGTGCAAGGGCGGAGGGAAGGAAGGCCAGGGGCCGAAGCAGCAGACGGCAAAGAGAGGACGGGGAAGGGGTAGAGGTGGCGGAGGCGGCCGTTCTGCGAACGTTGCCAAAGCGAACATCAATGACGAGGAATGTGCGTTCACCACCCTCGCGCTCGGCAGCGCCGCGCGTTTCGAGTTCAACCCCCACAGCCGAGACCGCATCGAAGTCTACGACAGCGGCGCGACCCGCCACATCTCCCCATACCGTGACACGTTCATCTCATTCACTGAACTCGACCCGCCGCTCCCAATCAACACCGCCGACGGCCACTCGTTCTCGGCTGTCGGCGAAGGTAGCGTACTTGTGGAGGTCCCCAACGGCGACAGTCAGACTGCCGTCACGCTCCAGCGCGTCCTGTATGCGCCGGAAATCGCGTTCGCGCTCGTCTCCATTCGGCGCGCGGACGAGGCGGGATACTCTGCGGTGTTCGAGAAGGGCGAGTGCCGCCTCTACCGGCGCTCAAACCAGGCGACCATTGGTCGCATCCCCCTCAAAGACGGCCTGTATCAGGTCCGTCGCCAGGACATAGCAGCTGCGACGGGCTTTGGGAAAGGCCCGGATCTCAAGCTGACGAACCACGAGCTTCACCGGCGCATGGGGCACATCTCCCCACTCGTCTCTCGCAGCGCGGTGAAGCAGGGTCGCATCTGCGGCATCAAGCTGACGGACGACTCGACGGATGAGGTCTGCGAGGCCTAAGGCTGAACATGGATCGATCCGTGGATCATCCGGATCCGAACCTACGGGTTTGGCACCCATTTCGAGCTCTACCTGGATCTGGACTTGATCCGAGCCCGGATGACCTGGATCCGCAGGTCCGGATCTAGGTAATCTGTGGGTATACCTGTGGAACCACTAAAACAAAAAGGGGTCTATTTTGAGAAACTAAGTACATGGTTATGTAGCTAATGTGAGTACAATGAAACGTCAAGATGAATGAAGAGAAACGGATGAGAACCAGAAAAGATATAACCAAAATAGTCGGGAAGGGGGAGGAGGGGCACATGGCCATATCTACGGAACGCGTGGACCGATTTGTGCGTTCCCAGCATCATATAAAAGCTATACATGATGTGAGTAAGACGTTCCAAACGCGATACAAATTGGTGAAGAACTCAATGTGGTATGGACGAAATACAAATGAGCGATTTGTGGCACTTGATAACATCATAGAGCCACCCATAGCGGACGGATTTTGGAGATAGAACCCTCTCTCAATGACGATGATTAAGGGGGAGACATAAGAGAAGATATTGCAAGATAATCCCCAGGTATAGAAGAGGAAACAAGGTAACAATACTGGGCCCAAGAGAGGTATAAAGAAATCGATGCAGAACGCCCAAACGTAGGTGAATCACTACGCACCCTAATAATCCGGATAGCCCTTCGAAACAGCATCAAGATGCGCCCTTTCGCATAAGAATTGGTCCAATGGTGACTCCAGGATTGCTGAATCAACATGGCAGAAAGGGCCCAGCCAGGTCTTGCTGCTGAAATCTTCAGCCTCTCAGCCATCCAGAGAGATGTACAGTAAAGTAAATAGTGGAACAGAGCACAGACAGAATTTGTATGAGAAAATGCTCAGAGTATGGAGGTAGGTAAGGATCCGGCATGGGTCCTGCACGGATTGAGACCCTAACCTGGATCTGGAAGTGATCCGGATCTGGGAGACCCGGATCCGTGGGTCCGGGTCTTTGCGGGTCCGGGTCCGGGTTTTCCCGGCTCTATCCTGGGTTTGACCTGAACCTATGTTCAGCCTTAGCGAGGCCTGCATCCAAGCGAAGATCACGCGCAAGCCCGTGCCGGATGAGCGGGAGAGTGAACTCGCGGAGAACTATGGTGAGCGTGTCCACGCTGACACCTGGTCCGCCAACGTCACTTCTCTTGGAGGCAACAAGTACACGACGATGTGGACGGACGACGCGAAACGCTGGACGCGCACAGTCCCCCAGAAGGAGAAGAGCCAAGCTCTCCCCGCATACAAGGCCCTCGAGGCCGAGATCGAGACGCAAGAGGGTCGCCGCATCAAGGAACTCCAGACTGATGGCGACGGAGAGTTCTGGGGCATCGACTTCGACAACTACGTCAAGTCTCGAGGCACCTTCCACCGCACCTCCGTCCACGACACGCCAGAAGAGAATGGTGTTGCAGAACGCATCAACCGCACGCTCGCAGAGCACTCCCGCGCCATGCTCATCGACTCGGGCCTCCCTCGCAACCTCTGGCCGTACTCGATGGTTCACGCAACTTGGCTCAAGAACCGCACGCCGACGCGCGCCCTCAAGGGCCTCACGCCTTTCGAGGCACGCTACGGCAAGGCTCCCGACCTTCGAGACCTCCATCGCTTTGGTGCGAAGGTCTGGGTACGCAAGGAGCGGTCCGGCAAGACCGAGAGCAAGGCACGTGAAGGACGCTTCGTCGGGTACAGCCAGAAGAGCAAGGGCTACCAGGTCTACTGGCACGACAAGCGGTCCGTAACCATCGAGCGGAACGTCCGTTTCATCGAGGACGAGCCGGACACGGTTGAGCAGGACGACGCGCCGCTTGAGGGGGCGAGGCAGGACAAGGGCGAGCAGCCCGCTGTCGTGCTCGTCGGGGTTTGATAGTAGGCAGCGGTTTTCGATGTAGGTCGAGAAAACCAGAAATTTGTTTTGTGTGGAGGGGTTGTGGCCTGTGTGTATCAAATTCCTACGCTATAGTTGCACCTGCCGCAAAGCGTGTGGGTTTTCCTTCTTTTCCGACAGAGGCTTTGCCGAGTTCGGATGGATGGTGGTTTGTAGTTTCACCAAGGAATAAACACCAAAACCTTTCTCTGACCAACTGTCCACTAACACGCGAATACGTAGGGATGTGTGAGTGTGTGTGCGGGTGAGGTAGGATGGGGTGACGGGAATGCAAGTGAGGTGAAAATGTGAAATGGGGCCTAGAAACTGAGGGCTTTTGGTTAGTACGTTGACGTTTGGATGTGCTTACCCTGTGGAGCACTAGCGGCTTGTCCTGGCTTATCTTGACTGGAGGACCTTCGTAGTCCCGTATACTTGTTTAGTGGGAGGATTCTCGTGATCCTATGACTTCTT